TTTCCTCTCACCGTTTTTGCTTGTTAAGAAAGCAGGTGAAATACGCGCACACACACACACACACACACACACACACACACACACACACACACAAACTTTATACCACCATGTGATCATGAGACCTAACCCAGCGTTGCAATTTCCAAATCCCGCCAAGTATTTTAGCTTCAATATTCATGACTAATTGTTTTCCTTGTCTGACTGCTCTACTACTGTACTTATAGTCTCAGACTGTAAAGGCTTGCAAGAAATATCTCACCACCAATACTTAATCTAAGCCATGTGTCCAAATATTCCGTTTTCCGCTTTTTATTATGTGATCACATCCACGGCCTTCTTTCTTTTTCGCTGTATTTTTAATTCAGTCAAGAATCTCGCCACTAGACCAGGCCCTAAGGCTCACTTTGAGTATCTGCTTTGGCCAAGGCTGTACATTTAGAACGTACAATGACGTGTTATTTAGCCCTGGCTTGAGGAACTTTGTGACCAGTGCTTTATTCAAGTTGACAGGTCCGTCATTTAAAATGCTCAGTAATTGGCTCTGTATGACGCACCAAGACAATGGACTTCCGGTTCTACTTATGACCCCTGGACTCAGTTTATTTGCCATGGTAACGCAGGATGAAGGCACTTCACTAGTCATTTTGAGGGGGAATAACACACGTGGGTTTTTGAGGTATGGAACGCTACTGCGGAGGCAGACAGGAAGGGAGGCTGAGAATTCGAATGGCGATACACTCAAAGGGGAGAGGCAAGCATCAGCAGTGTTTGGACGTGAGTGCAGAAAAGATGGGCGGAGGGAGAGAGCCGGTGAAGATAAACTGCAGCAACTCTGACTTGAGATGCATCCAGTGTACATAGATGAGTGAAGAAGAAAAAAAACTGGAATTATCAGAATCCTCTGAAGCAATTTCCCTGTGCGTAATGAGATATAAATGGAGCAAGGAAAGCAGGTTTTGGTTGGAATGAAGGAGTAAGACACGGGCTCAGCATTTTGATCATGACACGTGTGGGGGTTCATTGTATCTCTGTAATACGACCTCGAATCATTCGAGAAGTTGAGATGCTGCTACGTGCCTTATTACAGACTCTCCTCACATTTTAAGAATAAATGAAATATGATCTTATGTGTGACTCATGTCTGCAATGTATTATCTGATACGTGTTCTCAGAACTACCTGAACCTCATGACCTTGGTTGGGCCGACTTGTTTTCCCGATTCTGCGCCGAGTCAGCGGAAGAGAAAGACAGCATTTTTTCCACTTAAAACCAGACGAAATGTGTCCAAAGGATTTATCTGCTCTGACTGCAGAATGTATTGAGATAAACCCGTCAGCTCAGTCAGTGTCTCTGTTTACGAATGCCATTTGATTTCGCTTTTTTAATCTTTAATTATTGGGTTTATTTGTTGTAGAGAATAAATAAATCACTTTAGTCATCGTACTGTGGAACCTCCAAAATCCAATGGAGGAAACGTGACCATGACTGGAGCTTAATTTCTATGAAGGAAAGGCACTAGCTGCTCAGCATAACTTGCAAATTAAATGAAATATCCATGACACACAAAAATTAAAAGACAATTTAGCATGACAACATGATAGCCAATTCCCACGGCAACATCCACAATGATGCACAGTCATGAGCAATGGCACCTCTTAATGCGACATGGAGATTCTTTTTCGCTGCACTGACAAAGAATATAGTCTTGTAGAAGTCTTACCATTTATTTGCACGGACCCAATTTTTTTTCTCTCCACTGTCTTGTTATCAGGCTGCTGCCGACTACGCAAAGGCTCACCTACCAGAGGCGCTCCGCCAGCAGCTGCTGACCTATGAACGTGAGCGAGAGCGGGATAGGGAAAAGGATAAAGAGAAGGATGAGAAAAAGGATGGCATGTCCTACCCATCTATCCTGGAGCAGCAGATCCTGACGTTAGACCGCGAAATGCTGGAAAAGCTCTCCGCCACATACAATGAAGCAGGTGTGTGTGTGTGTGTGTGTGTGTGTGTGTGTGTGTGTGTGTGTGTGTGTGTGTGTGTGTGTGTGTGTGTGTGTGTGTGTGTGTGTGTGTGCGCGCGCGCACGCACAACACACTGCTATTTGGACACACACAATTAATTGGTCATAATTCCAAAAAGTATTTTTAGCATAAACACAACACTGCTCATCACCATTACAAACTGTAAAGCATGGTAATGGCAGTATCGTGCTTTGGGTCTCTTTTTCTTTCGCTGAAAGTTAGGCCTTTGACAAATTGGGGGGGGAATTACGAACAGTTCAAAATAACAGAGAGGCAGAATAAACTATTATCATCTCCAAGAAAGTGTTTTTATTTAATGTAATGCAGAACATGACACTTTTTACTTTGGGCACCACACTCTGCGACGTAAACGTCGCCAGTCTTGGTTGTTTTATTTATTTATTATATTATATATATATATATGGACAAAAAAAAATTGCCATTAGAACTGGGGTATGTAGACTTTTTCTATCAACTGCATTTGAACAAATTAGCTTATTGGCTAATTTCCTGTTCAATTCAGCACCTATTGTATTGGCTGTCATTAGGTTGTATCGCTACAATACCATGACAAATAGCAATACGATATACAGTGATGTTATTTTGTCCTATTCCAAGGTTATATTCCAAGTTTGGATGATTACTGGGTGTGTTTCCGTTTATATCCAAACCATTGTGTGGCTACAAAACAGATCGGAATTAACCGGAGCACTGGACTAGTCCATGGTGATGTCTTTAAGCCTCCTCTGTAGTGCACGATCTTCCTCTTGCAAGCTTCTATTGTCGAACAGTGACTGTCAGCAGCCCCTGGGCCTTGCTTATTCAGCTGTTTAAATACAAGCCAGTCTTCACAAGGCTTGTCGTAATTATCTATGGAGGGATCCAAGGGAGGAGTGAGGAAGAGTAGTGGGCGAGAGGTAAGAGAAGGGTCAGAGGAAGGGACATGTGGAAGTTTTAGTTGGTGAAGGCTGCGCACTAAGGAATGTGTTGCAAAGGGGCGGGGGGGAGAGGGGGACAAGAAATGTTGAGGAGATGTACATTTGGTGAGGAGACACATAGACAGATAAAAAGAAAAGGAATGACCACGTAATGTGTGTATGTAGAGATAAGAAAAATGGCAGCAGACGAGTGGAGGATGAGAGCATACAGGATGATGGAGGTAGATATTCATGAATGTGTCAGACAACCTTGTTTTGGTGTGACTGCAAAATCGAATACTTTTACAATCAGTGCTGTCTCTTTTATTAGCTCCGCCAAGGGCAAAAGACGAGGGTATGCGGGTTATGCTCTTCACTCTGTTTTCTCTATATAACGTTGATGTACAAATACTTAACAGCTAAGCCAAGAAGTCTCCAAAGAAATTGCACTTGGTCCAAACTGTGCAAAACGTTTTTGTTGGTGTGTAAAGTCTGTAAAGACTTGAACTGGTCCTCTTAGATTCTTTTGTTAGTCCCAAAAAAATATCATACGACCCTTCTGCCGAAAGACACTCAAGCTGATCCAAAAAGTCTGTCAAAACTATTAGGTCAAGTTGAGCCAAATAGTCTCGAAAGAAACTTCAGTTGATCCAAGATAGTTTCAGTTGCACTCAAAAGTGAGAAAGACTTCAATTGATGAAAACAAAAAAAATTAAAAAAAAAAACCTCTGGAAAGATTCCAATAGGGAAAGTCTCTGAAGACTACTCCGTTGATCCAAAGTCTTTAAAAAATTCTGCAGTTTGTCCATAAAATCTATAACGTCTCTTCAGTTGGTCTAAAAACTCCCCACAAACTTAGCAACACGAGCCGCTGAGACTCTCAATGTGTTAGGAATATGAAGACTTATGGCCTTCCCTGAATGGTCAATAAAGTTCATTATGATGAAGGTTATTTTTATTTGCTTGGATGTCTCATCGACGGGAACACAGTGCCACATCATGGAGTATAATGCTCATATGGTCCCTTTGCTGCGCAGGAATTTTCACTATTGATTACTCCGCTGTTATTTGTTCTTCTCCCGCCGCGTCATTGTCTGCAGACTTGTAAAATCCGATCTTGTATTCATCGCCGCAGGGGAGTCTTTTTGTTGCCTTTTAAATGAATGATTCTCGTCTCTAAGACAAGCCTTGTTTTCCAAGGAACATCTAATGAGATCCAATGCAAGCGCCGCACCAAAATTTAAAAAAATTTGGTGACATTAACTACATGCCAGGTGCAAATAATGAAATATTTGACACATGTACAGTATTTGCTTCCAAACCAGTGTAGAGTACAACCACTACAATGAACTTGTTTATTTTTCATATGAAACTTTGACACTGACAGATACACAATTCACAGTTTCTGGGTGTCATTACTCTTTTCTTATTTGCCATTCATTCTGTACTGGTGTCGTGGAAAAACACCCCCCAAAAATGTTTATTTATTTAGATTTTTGAGGCACATTTATGAGAAAATGATGTTTGTGCCCCAGCTTGGTCAACTTACTGGCATTTGACATTTCAGGTTCCACTGTACAAGATTGTTTTAAAGATTCTTACGGCGGTTTACGGAAGCTGAACAGTCGTTTGAGAATTGCAGTTTACTTTATTAAACAATACTTATTGACCTTTTTCTTATCTTCCTCTCCACAAATATTCCAATATATGACAACAGTCAGACTAAAACTAATAAAAAAACTAAACTGAAACTCAGCATTTTCGAGCAAATGTCAAAAGGAAATGAAAAATACGAATGATGAAGAATCCAAAAGTATTATAACCCTGGTGTCAACTTTGCAGGACATATTTTCACTTTACAGGGACTTTAACGTTTCAGGCATGAATCTTCACTCTCAGCAAGACAGGACCCAAAAAAAAAAAAAAATGATGACACTGAGAGAACTAATTCACTTAAACAAGGGTGAAGAGGTAAGGTTTAAAATTGGATTACAGGTCCGAACAATGTATTGTGTGAATAATAACGACATGTGACTCCCATGTCAGCAGTTTATCCTCCAGCTCATTGAATCCAGCGGTGCTCTCGGGAGAGAGAGAGCTCATATGACACAATGGTCGTACAAGGAGAGAATTAAACTCTCTATAGGCGACAGCCCCCTTGCAGAAGGCTCCAGCATGGCAGCGACAATACCTTTTGTTACGCTCGCCCGTCGCCAACCTCTTTATCCTCTTTTATGCTCGTCGTTCTCTTCTTCTGTACTCGAGCCAGCATCCGCTTACCAATCTCTGCTGCTCCCGCAAGAAAAGCCATCTCCTGATCCCTCTGTCTTTTTGTGTTTTGATGCTTTGTGACCTTTTAACCGCACAATGGGCTTCTGTCCAGAGCTATTATTTTGCCCAGATGGTGGGACATATTGTCTGTGGGTCAACTAGGAGAAAGCCACTGCTTGTTCAGGGGACCAATTTATGACAGTCTCAGCGTCTTGGGGGGTGGGAGTGCAACTGCTGATCAGGTAATTGTTGCTCATTCTTCCAATTGTGGCTGATTTACAGCTCTCTCCTTTATTGCAATCAGGGCCTGAATGAAGCAAGGGAGAGACGTATGCTCCCAGTTGAACTCCTAGTCCCCGACATATCCGATTCATCCTCCGGCTCTCCATCCCCTCGTGGCTTATCATCAAACACACCAAGCGGAGATAAGACTGATGTCGCTTTAATGGAATGCCCATAAGCATCAGGCGGTTGCAGTCACCTTGGTGCAGTGTGGTTATGCGTCTACTCCGACCTAACCTTGATTTGACAGCGTGAACTCTTGTCACATAACACAGGTTTTGACACACTACATAAGTTGTCCAGTGATGCATGAATGCTGTAATGAAAAGTTAAAGGTGAAAGCAGCAATATTGAAAGCGGGTGGTGACTTGCAGTAAGTCTTTTCCGTCAACTTGTTTTTTGTCATAGGGAGTGAACGTCTTCACACAAAGGGCAGCGAAGAGGCGGGCTTTTAACAAACGTATTAGCAATAAGTCATTAAAGGATGTCGATCTAATGTCCTGCCTATTCTCCATTCATAAATTCATTCATTCATTTTCCGAACGGCTTTATCCCCACTAGGGTTGCGGGGGTTGCCTGAGCCTATCTCAGCTATCTTCGGGCAGAGGCCGGGGGACACCCTGAACCGGTTGTCAGCCAATCGCAAGGCACACAGAAACTAACAACCATTCGCGCTCACAGTCACACCTCGGGACAATTTTTAGTGTTCAATCAGCCTGCCATGCATGTTTTTGGAATGTGGGAGGAAACCGGAGTACCCGGAGAAAACCCATGCAAGCACGGAGAGAACATGCAAACCGGTACCTCTGCACTGTGAAGTCGACGTGCTAACCACTCGACTACCGGGCTGCCCCATTCATAAATTCACATTTCTTGAGATTAACATCATGTAGATTGGCATTCTTGTGTTCAGACCCATCTTTGTGTAAGTTTTCATACCTTGCCAACGGTTTTGACTGTCAACACTCGAGTCTTCATCAAAGCCGTAACCGCTTCCTGGCATGATTGGCTTTCATGTTATCACAAAACCAAAGCTGGTGCGCCGATGTTTACAGAGTGGCGCGAGCATTGTGAAATGGCAATGAGGCAAAAAAAAAGAAGACTTGCTTTGAAAAATACTTCGTGCCTTCTCGGGAACCCACATTTATACAAAACAACATCGGGTACGATATGTTTGCTTTTATTTATGGTCGTTTCCCTGTTGCTCACACGAACTGTTTCAGGACAAAACCAATCGCGAGGCCGTCTTGATTTTTGATGAGCTGTGGAAATGATCATATTATATATTCATTTGTAAATATTAAATACATTGGAATGAGGGTACACTTTGTTCACAACCCCTAGGATGTTGTGAGGATTTTTTTTTTCGCAAGTACTCGTGTATAATCCTGCCATTGATTTTGAATGATTCATAAGAAATGACGGTATTTGCGTTTGTTTTGGGAACGTACCGCCATTATTCTATTTGTGTTTGTTGTGCGATTTTTGTAACTGAGAATTTATAGGAGGTTGCCCTTAGTAAATAGGAATTGGTCCCAATGTTGAAGGGAAGCATCTTGAGTAAGTGGCAAATTTTATGTCGGGGAGGAGCAAGGTTTAGCCTGGGTTGTTAGTGGAAGGTAGAAGAGTCTTCATCACACATGCAAGTACACGCGCAATCGAAATCAAATGTACTTGTTTTTGGTTGCACATGATTCAAATGTATTAAACTAACCTCTTATCATCTGTTTATTTTTGAGGAAAACACAGGAAAATTTCATCGGTTTACCACATTTTCACCATGTGCAACAGATGTACAATTTCGAATTAAGAAAATCCGAAGGATCTTTTTTTTTTTTTTTTTGTCAGTGCAGGTCAGTCTTGGCACTATGACACACATTTGGTTTGAGGGTGGAAACTCACCATTGTTGGTGGAGATATAGCTACGTATGCGTGGTGTTGGTCAGTGTGAGTAGGCCACAAACTTTTAAACGCAATTAGAACACACTTTGTGATTTTTTTATTTTTTGCTGGTTAATGTTGCTGATGTCATAAAGCAACATGACCACAAATAGTCTCACTGCTTGCTGCTAACTGTGTACTCTTAAGAGCATGAGTAGCCTGAACTTTGTGGGTGGACTAATAGGCAGGCGGTGTGGGCGGCGTAAAATCAGACAGCGGCATGGCATACTGTCTAGCACACTCAATAATAAACGTGGAGTATGAATTTGGATGGAGACCTTAATCTTCTTTTGTCTGATATAAATTGATAATTAGCATCCACATCGGGTGTGCTGTTTTAAATTAATAGGGAGTGGCAAACATGTTGGTTGGCATGCAGCTTGCCTAATTGGGGAAGTGTATGCTAGCGAGCCACCTCTGTCCATTATCTCTATTGCTATGAGATCCCGATAAGGATAATTAACCGGACAGCGTGGCACAGTGAAGGGGAAGCTAGATGTGGGGATTAAGGATGCATGCAATTATTTTCCACTACTGTTGAAAAAAAAAAAGGTTGCAGCCGAGTCCATCAGTATTTATTGCATTCCTTGCTGTATTTCTCTATTTCCATTTAAGACTTCACACCTATTGCCACAAAGAGGGAAAACTAAAATAGTGTTTTGCTCTTGAGAAGTAATCGCCCGTCTCCATCTTACATCTCATCTCTCCTTTCAAATGAGATTTATGTCATTCCGTCTAACCCCGAAGCACCTCCGACATAATTGCATGTCACTCAACATCATTCCAACATGTGGAACTTTCAGCAGAAGTCTCAAGGTCACCAAGCAGCACATTGCTTGCGCTTTACTTGTGGAGAAATGCTTGGTCGACTAAAATCAACAATCAATTGCTTGCGAGATTATATCTCGGCATGTTCGGATCTCTTGTTCCCATGCCAGTGTTGTGATGCTGCTTAGAGAATTTGTGCCATGGTTGAGCTCTGCGTGGAGGTAATGTTTCTGCTTAGGCAGCAAAAGAGCGGTGCAACGGTCCATTCCGTATCGACCGACTGCGATAACGCTTGTCAAAGACGTCTGCGCGGGTTTCCTTTAAGTACTCTGCATGGTTTCCTCCGTGTTTCCCAAAATATATATGGTCGCTAAACTGAAATCTGTAAATTGTCTGCACTTTTCAATTTGACCTGTTTGTTTCTTATCAGAGACTAAACCTATATAAATAAACCATACTAACTCGAATAAATGAAGTTTGTCGAACCCAAGTAAATGACGTTGAATCCAATTCTAGTACTTGAGTTCAATTATGTTAAATATTAAAATTACATTGAGCCTATTCAAATACATAAAAAAAGACCAATATAGTTGCTTAATGCTTTAAGAAAACCATTTCATTACATGGAAATCTTTTCATGATTTTTTTTTAATCTAAGTTCATTGAAAGAGATATTTTTGTTCAGTTTATCCCTGTTTAGTCCAACTGAATCCTGAGTTTGCCCCCAGGGCAATTACACTTTTACTGCCCATTTTCACATTTAACTCAGCCCTCATACATGGCGTTATAGTATAGGCAGGAGCTTGATGCCCAGTAGCTCTCCAAAACAGAACTCTTCCTCCCTCCATATTAGTCTCTTGTGTGTGAGCAGATGGTCAAAGAGGCAGTTTTGTGCACAAGTTTGGATCGCACACAAAAGGCTTCAGTCCACAATGGGTCAGTCGGACTGAAGAGCCAAATAGAGAGGCGAGGCTTCCCCGCTTTTATTTTTAAAGGTTACAGTAAGAGTTGGAGGTGTTTTGTATGGCCGTACACCAACTGGTTGATTTCATCGGCCCATAATAGCTCTTTGACAAAAAAATCAGCCAATGATCTTTTTTTTCACGCATTAACACATTATAGCAAAAGACAAGTGTAATTATATTCAAGCATCCACTATCACCCTAGAACCAAATGCTTAACAGAATTGCAGTGCTGTTGGATACACAGATGAACGTTAACAAATAACCTCATCAGTGTTTGCTTCTGACAATCAACACTGAAATGTTTGGCCAAGTGAGCGTGGGTAGTGTTTGACATTTTTGCCCACCACATACCAGGGCTGCACAATTAATAACATTTTAATCATGACCACCATTTCGGCAGCCATGATTAAATAAAACTTATGCTCTGCAATTTTTGCATATAAAATATAGGCTCTGTTGCCTATCCAATCAAGCACTTTCTCAACCAATACTCAGCCGATCGCCAGGGCTCAACCGCATGGTTAAGACTTCATGAAGCTGCCTATGTAACAACCGAGCATACTGCACCCTGCAACGGTAGCCCAAAGTCATTTGGTGAACTGATGAGAGTGAGGCAAGTCGTGAGAAAAAAGTCCAGCAAAAATTGGAGATGAGGAGCTCGTGCTCCGAAAGGGATTACCATCTGTTGTCTGGACTTGTCTTTGAACAAGTTAATAGCATGTTAATTCAGTTAGCTCTTGTTAAATTTGAAATTTAAATTCTTTGGTAATAAGGGCCTAAACAGCGACAACTGCGAGGTCCCCCATTGTTTCTATAGAAATTATTAGTAGTAGTATTATTATAGGTAATATTCATATTTTTGAAGATTTTAACGGGAACGAAAACCCAGCAAACTTTGCGCACACATCGGGCCTGGTGAAAATTGTGATATTTTAAAGTTACCATAAACAAGTACAGTGGCCCGGTGGTCCAGTGGTTAGCGCGTCGACCTCACAATGGGTTCAATCCCCGCTCCGGCCTCCCTGTGTGGAGTTTGCATGTTCTCCCCGGGCCTGCATGGGTTTTCTCCAGGTACTACGGTTTCCTCCCACATTCCAAAAACATGCACGGCAGGCTGATTGAACACCCTAAATTGTCCCGAGGTGTGAGTGTGAGCGCAAATGGTTGTTCGTCTCTGTCTGCCCTGCGATTGGCTGGCGACCGGTTCAGGGTGTCCCCCGCCTACTGCCCGATGACGACTGGGATAGGCTCCAGCACCCTCCGTGACCCTTGTGAGGATTAAGCGAATCGTAAAATGAATGAATGAATGAATAAACAAGTACAAAAAAAGGGTGTGTAGCACCCCTGACAGAGACTTAAAGGAGGCCTATCCCAGTACGTTTGACCCTGGGCTACAAAAATAATTGTTGTGTTTTTTTGGTGGTGTGCTGTAAGATTTTTCAAATGTAAAATATGTGCCTGGGCTCACTGGGCGAAGCAACCCTGTTGCTCCGACACTTGTCGTCATGGTGATGCAAAGCCATATTTACGTTGGCATGCCCCACAGTAGAGCGGCGCGGGGTCATTTGCATGAGATAGGACGGCTCCCTGAGAACCGTAAAGAGAGGGTAAAAAGTGTGCTGTTATTCTTGTTTTGACTCACGCGTGTCACAGAAACGTTACTCAGACACGTGGAAAAATGCTGAATGTGCCTGCTTTGAAAGTTTGTAAGTAATGCATGATTCCCTAATTACCAAATTCAAGCTTAAGCATGAAGCATGGATCTATGAATTCGCATTGTTCATCTTGGGGAGAGGTCTTCTCTCTGCTGAGTGCCGCTCTAGTTCATTTAATTCGAGCTCGATAGACTCCGTTTTATAGTCAATTATTTCCACATCAACCACACTCCTTCTTCTTTTCCTCCTCCCTCAGGCACCACATGTCTGGTGGCCCTGCTGTCCGATAAGGAGCTGACGGTAGCCAACGTCGGCGACTCGCGCGGAGTCCTGTGCGATAAAGACGGCAAGGCCATCCCGCTATCGCACGACCACAAGCCGTACCAGCTAAAAGAGCGCAAGAGGATCAAGAAAGCTGGTGAGAGTCGACACAGACTGACTGTGGGCTGCATACAAATGAATTTCTTATGGTACTTTGGGAAACCTAACGTAAACAGTCATGACCGCAGCCCCGACTATTCCATGTTTCGTCTCGGCTGAACTAAGTGTGCTGGTTCGCAAACACAGCCAGCATTTCAGGTGCATTTGGAGCCATAATTCTGCCTCCTACTTTTGCTGCATGCACTCTGGAGTGCTGGCGTGATGGTGGCAGGGGGCCAGAAGAGTGAGCCTGTGGGGCCCACACTGCATAATAGTCCATCATCTCCATCTAATGGTCCATTTCGGGACTGGAGGAAAAAAACGAAATAAAGCACTGCTTAAAAACAAAAAATGTTCACCCCCTTTGCTCCTCTTAGAGTGACATGAAGGGTAACAAATGAGAGACACACATTTCACTGGAAGGGCTCGATCTGATGATTAGAACTGACAACTTTTCCCAAAATTCGACATAAGAAAAAGGTGGACTGGATATTCTTGGAACTGTTGTGCCGTGAATGCCAAATGATGCAATGCACTCCCTCTCACCTGTGCAAGTTATGCTATTTCTTTTATTAGCTGACTCTGACTTGCAAAATTGGAGATACATCACGCAACAGCAAGTAAAAGAACGCAAAACATGTTTTTTTTTTTCCATGACCTTATTGACAAAATAATGATAAATACACAATACCGGTACTTCACACAGTTACACTGTCTGAAACCAAAAAATATGATGATAGTCATAATAAAATATGACTCAAATTACCAATATTTATATCACATCACAATTATATTTATTGAACACTAATGTTGTGTGAATATTTATTTGGGGATTTTTCTAAACAGATCAAATAAATGTTGAAATGAAATTTAGGTGTGTACAATAAGCTCAATTTAAATACATGAAATTAAGATTCTTAAGATTCAAATTGAAACAAGCAAAGAATATAGATTAAAATAAAAAAGAAACATGCTGAAACTGTAGATTGAGATATTTGGTATAAAATGTACTAAATACTGTATGTTTTTTTTTTTTTTTTCAAACTGATAACCGCCACTCAGTTGTTTGGTGAGAACAATCATAAATAAAACTCTGACGATAATTAATCCATGAGCAATGAGAAATAATGGTAAGGATGAATAATAATATAGTAAGAGTAATGATGATAATAATAAAATACGGCACAAATTCTAAAGAAAGCTTTTCAGTTTTTTATACAGATATACATCTATCTATCTAACCATCTATCTATCTATCTATCAATCTATCGATCGATAGCTAGATAGAGAGAGAGAGAGAGAGAGAGAGAGAGAGAGAGAGAGAGAGAGAGAGAGAGAGAGAGAGATAGACAGATAGATAGGTACAGGTATATATATATATATGTTGTACATTTTATAGTCTATTGCAGCCTGATGTCACGACCTCAGCATTTTTAAAACGCTAGCTATGACCTTGCTTGCTTGAAGATGAGGAAACGGTAGACACATCCTGGCCATGTAAGGAAGTCTGAATGTAATCCAAGCGTTTTCCGAGACGATTCCCCAGTCGAGGATCTGTTGCAGCCACACAGGTCATGTGGCAGCAAGCACAGGAAGTGATGTTATCTCATACTCAGTTGTCGGAAATTTTCCATTGGAATTGACGAGAATTTGGGGGAATGAGGGGAATAAAACAGGGATTTATAAATTTATTTTAGCATAATCTTGACTAAAAGAACCAGATTTCATGCAATCAAAATTAATGCACATAATGTAGCAGGGGTTGCATCACTCAATTTGTTTTCATCACGAATGTGAAGAGTATCTTGTCGCAGATTTTTTTTTCTTCAGGTCTCCACTATAATTTTTTTTTTTTAAATCACAGGAGAAGGGAATGCTTTGTAGTAATCTATAATTCACCCCCAATGCTAATAACACAGAGCCAGATGATAAAGAAGATCCTGTTTGCTTCTGACTATTGCTATATTATCTGTCTACATGTGTCAATGGCATTTTCGTTGTCTGTTCAAGCTAAGGCAAAGCTGAGTGATTAATTTAAATACGTAACATATAAATGTTTACTTGGCCTGTCAACTTCGCCTGGGAGTGGCAAGAAAGAGCTTTTTGCATAATTTACATCTCTGTCAGTCTCAAAATTGATTTTTCTTGCTATCAGGCGGCTTCATCAGTTTCAACGGCTCGTGGCGCGTGCAGGGCATCCTGGCCATGTCCCGCTCGCTGGGCGACTACACCCTGAAGAACCTCAACGTGGTCATCCCCGACCCTGACATCCTTTCCTTCGACCTGAACAAGCTGCAGCCAGAGTTCATGATCCTGGCATCAGATGGCCTCTGGGACACCTTCAGCAACGAAGAGGCCGTGCGCTTTGTCCGCGAACGCCTGGACGAGCCGCACTTCGGCGCCAAGAGCATCGTCCTCCAGTCGTACTACCGCGGTTGCCCCGACAACATCACCGTCATGGTGGTCAAATTTAAAGGCAAAGCTGGAGAGCAGTAGAACAACCACGTCCGTTTTCTGTGTGAAAGAATAAGCACCATACCTGAATTTTGGAGAGAGAATCAATTTTAATGCAGATGTTTAAAAACGGCATCAAACCATGCGCCCCTTTCATTTTAGCCCTGTAATGCCTGACCCATCAAGGAATAGCCAGAAAAATCGGATTTTTGGGAACTGAGATGTTCATTAACCCTTATAACAAAATCCACAAAAATATTTTTGCCATATTATGTTGTTTTAGATATTTGTCATATCACATTGATAAGCATTTTGTAGATTACATCTGAAAATGATAATTTGGGGAAAACCATATTTTAAACCTGCAGTGTCAAATTTGATACAGATGATTTAATGTCATATAAAGAATGAATTACATCATGAAAATGCATGTATCAAATATGACACAAATGGCATTATAGGGTTCATGCCATATTTTGCATTAATTTACCACTGAGAATTCTTTGTGGGAATGATTATCGATTATACTAAAGCAATAGAGGCTAAATGGAATTTTATAATAATTGGAAACCCAAGACGCGCATTTGATTTGTCCTAACTGCAGTGAACTCCGTTTATAGTGGGGGATGAGTTCCAGACCCACCTGTGGTAGGTAAAAATCCACGATATAGGAAACCCATTAAAAAACAAAAACTGCTTTTGTAAAGTTTATCCCTCGCCACACAAATTTATTAAGACATACTTTTTAAAGTATGCCTCAGCACCTGCTCTCGCTCTCTGGCTTACACAGTTCTTCAAATAATAGGCTCACACTACCGGTTGAAGTGAACTGTAAAACGGACAAATAAAACAAAGGAGATTTAAAGATTGGATGTTTCCAGACCAAAATGTCCAACCAAACTGGATAGCTGCATCTCGTGAGAGTCTGTTTTCTTAATGCTAAGATACAAACGGCGTATCCGGGCAAATAAAAATTAGCATACATGTTACGGTAAAGTCATTCTAAACCTTCAAAGAACTGCTACTTTTCCACTCATGGAGGAGCCACACATACAAAACCGGGTTGACAACAGTGCACACGGCCATACAAAATATTCCCTCTGCTATGTGACCCGTGTTTTAAATGACATACTTGGCATAGGATTTCATTGTCTCGAACATTTTCACTGTGTGTTTGTCAGGTCAGATGTTTCAGCTCTTGTGATTGCCCAATGTTAGTCAAGGTTTGTACAGCAATAGGAGCCACCACTTGTCCCGATAACAGAGAAGGATGAGTGCGCTTGTACAGCATGGGACTGATACGTTTTATCCTTTTTGAACGTTTTAGTTCATAATAAACAATTGGGGCAATTTTTGTTTTCGGATTGTTGATGACTTTTTACTATTTGTTTTTCTAGTCGGACCTGATTTATTCGAACGTTTGCTCTGTTACTCGTGCAAATGTTGAACACAATAACACAAGGTCACATTAAATGAGTGTTCAAATGTAGTAACGTTTCCTTCATAAAGCAGCCATCTCTAATGACACTCAACTAATGGTTGCCGGATGACGTAAACACCAAATGTTTGTCAGAAATCATGATTAAACACAATCTACAGTTACATCCTAGTAGCGGTCACCTTCAGTTTTTCTGAACCGTAAATGAAACAAACCTTTGAATGAAGCGTATTACTGTTGCCTTCTTTTTAACAGTTTCTTGTAATATCTGCTGCCATTTTTTTTCAAAATGCGCCCCGCATGACTGTCTCACTCTAATAAGTAACATGTAAAGTAGAAATACTAAAAAAAAAAAAAAAAAAAATGAAAAGTAAGATGAATGTACATAACAGTGAGGTGCATTTGTTCGGATCGCCTGTTTGGGGTTTTCTCATTCAAGCCTTTGTCATTCATTACGAACATTGCAGAATGTCGGATTGGTATTCGTATATGTGTGCTTTCATAAAATGTACGGATTTGGGGTAAACGTTATTTTAAGGTGTAATTCAGAAAAAAAAGTTGACATTAAAACGAGAAGGATTACGTGATTTATCTGTGTGATTCTGTGGTATTCATTTCTGACATTGATGGTTTCCACGATTGCTATTTCAAAGAAGGAGCCAATTTTTGAATGAGCCTTTGATGCACAATAACCTTAAAAGGTGAATTTAATTTGATGTTTTATAAACTTTTGACTACACTTATCCAGCTGTTCAAATTTTGATCTGAATGTCTAAATTTACAACAAGGTGTTGGATGCATTTATGAACCAATGCATTTTCTGGTCCATTTCGAATTGGTATTAAAACAGTCCGCTTTTCAAATTTTGACATCACGAGACCAAGGCAACGCTGAACAATTGATAACTGTGATAACCTCAAAGCGTTAAAAAGGATGGTGTTAGATGGAAATGGCAACTAAGCGTATAGAGCACCATCATAAAGTTGCAAAAAAAAAAAAAAGTGAAAGGGAGACTGGATAAGTCATGGAAAGGCGTAGAAGTGGACGTTCTTGGACATTTTCACAGATCGGTGAATAATGCCATTCAGCTCCTTGTTAAAGAGCAGCAAGTTGTGAAAAAAAAAAATGAAACAATGAAACATCAAACGGTCGGACGTGCTAAAATTTCAAAAAGGTCAAATTAAGTTAATCTGTAAAGGTTCTAATTCACTTTAGGTTCATTCTGAAATTTTCCCCAGAAAGCAAAATATACCATTCATGACCACTGCCAGGCTGGTAAACAATCCGGATGTCCCAAATAAGTACTTCCGATTCGGTTACTGCTGGTTGAATGACAGCCAGGGACAGCTGTGATCTGACTCCAGTTACCAGAGCACAAACTACACGTCACGCTTCCCAATTGCACTGTCACTTTTGATATAAATAGCTTTACTAAAAGCTGCGGAGGGCCGAGGAGAGCCCCGTCACAACAGAGGGGTGGGATCACTTTAAACTGTGTGTACATAAAGCATAGTGGCCGCATACCGAGCCTGCAGACAGACAACACTGCAGGGACCCACTGGGCGCTCGAGAGCTTGGCTTACTCTGCGTTACGCAACAAGGCGAGCCCATTCTACTTTTTGGATCCGGCTCAGACATGGGGATGAACGGTTCTAAATCTCGGGGGCAAGTGCAGGTCCTGATGCTGGGCCTGGACCAATCCGGGAAGAGCACCTTGCTCTACAAACTCAAGTACAATAAGAGCGTGGTGACGGTGCCCACCGTGGGCTTCAACGTGGAGACACTGGAGACAGACAGGAGAAGCCCAGGTCTTACCATTTGGGACGTAGGTGGGCAGAGGAAGATGAGGCCTCACTGGAAGCATCACTATGCTGACACGGCTGGGCTGATGTTTGTGGTGGACAGCGCGGACCAAGGGAGACTGGATGAGGCCCGCAAGGAACTGCATCAGGTAATTAAAGATGATGTTTGGATTAAGATCATTCATATACATAAACTCTCCGGACTGCACTGCAGGATTTATTATGCACTTCACTGAACAAGCATCGGTTTCTCTTTAACCCTTTATGGTGATAAAATAAGATAAGATAAGATAACCTTGTCTCACAATGGAGAAATTTGCAATTTACAGCAACAACAATTGAAAGGAAGAAAGTAGAAAAACAAAAAGTACGTGGGAAACCTTCAGCCTGTGGGTTCAATACCGACAAATTAAATTTAGGTGTGATTGTGAGCGCGAATGGTTGTTTGTCTCTTTGTGCCCTGCAATTGGTTGGCAACCAGTTCAGGGTGTCCCCCGCCTACTGCCCGAAGATGGCTGGGATAGGCTCCAGCATGCCCCGTGACCCCTTGTGAGGATAAACGAATCAAAAAATGAATGGATGGATGGATTGATGGGATGAACCCCAGAAGATTTTTTCAAAAATCCCCGGTAGTGTAATGGAATGATTTCTGCAGTTATTATAGTACTGTATAGGGCAACAGGTGAGTCCTTTTTAAAATGTATTTAACCCTATCATGCACAAATTTAAAGTTAACCTTAAATTAGACCAAACACCTAATCCTAACCCTAACTACGTAAATATTTACAGGCACACATTTTGTGTTCATTTACTGAGAATACCATGTGGCAGAAGGTGACACATGCCTCAATTGTGCTCATATAGATGCTGAAGTTCGAGAGCCTAAGAGGAGTTCCTCTGGTCATTCTGTCCAACAAACAGGATTTGCATGGGGCTCTGAGCTCCGAAGCGGTCTGCCAGAGGCTGGACCTCAGGCAAGCATGTGAGGGGGACAGGCCATGGTTCATCCAGCCCTGCTCGGGCATCACGGGCATGGGGCTGGAGGAAGGCTTCAGGAGAATGGTGTACCTGATAAAGACCCCGTTGAGACCGACACAAGAGGACATCCAGGTCAAGATGAAGTTAAAAGGCTTCAGGATTACGGCCTTGTTATGCGGCTAATGGATGACTTTATCTCATGATTAATCCAATCGCATGTTGAGTTCAATCATATCTCACTGCCTCATCGATATGAGGAAATTAAAGTGGGCCATTTGAAGATAGAATATCTCAACACAGCAGGTAATGCTTGCTGTGAAACCTTACGTGTCAGTCGGGGCTGTTGGGATACTTGAAAAAAATGTTGAACATATGTTTCAAGAAAGCATTCCTGAATGTGTGCGTTGTACTGTGCAATCAAGTTAAGTTTATGCTTTGCAGTACTGTATATCTATTTGGAATGACACTCTCACAAAACATCAGTGTTTGTACATAAAATGCTGATTGATTATTTGAACAGGCTGGCAGTCAGTTCAGGGTGTCCTCCGCCTACTGCCCGAAAACAGCTGGAATAGGCTCTAGCACGCCCGCGACCCCTGTGAGGATAAACGGATTAGAAAATTGACAGATGGATTGATTATTTGAACACTAACTTGGCTGCTTTGTTGTAACTCTGTCTGAAACTAAAATTGCTATTTATATGTATGCATTTATTTTTATTTCATTAAAAAATATATAAACATTACACAACAGACTGAATAAAATAAACATAAATTAACAATTTTGTGTGACAAATGAGTCATGTTGACGTTGGAATTTGGACACATAGCACGATTCCGAAATCCGTGATGGCGGGCTGGGAACAGACCAATGGGAGCAGAGTGGAATCCCCCACCCACCCTTCCTGTCCGCCACCGGCAATCCCAGCATGCAACGCCGCCTTTCCAGCAGTAGCAAAAAATAGTCCGTTAACGAGCGAGCGAGAGAGAGCAAAATAGAGCGAGAGAGGCCGAGAAAAGGAACACGGAGAAACGCTAGCTTAACTGGCTAATTCCACGAGTGAAATCAAGTGCGCCGCAACCGCAAGCATGGCAGATAACGACAAACTGGACAACCAGCGACTGAAGAATTTCAAGAACAAGGGTCGGGATTTGGAGGTAAAAAAAACTGAAAAAAGACTGAAGTCACGCTCTTTAAACAGCGGCACCGCGGGTCCATAGCTCGCCGCCAACTTCGCCCTCTTCCCTTCCCTGTGACGTCGTTTCTAATTTTCATCATCGGGGAACTTTGCCCCCAGGCTTCAACTTGGCCCTTCACTGTGATCCGTTTTTAAACCCCGACTTCTGCTCAATGATTTCACCGCTTGAGCCTCGTTTTATTCACCCTATTTAGACAGTTTACTGAGAAAGTATCAGAGAGGATCTGCTAACTCGCTTGCTAGCAGGATCTATTAGCTCGCTGCTAAACAGGCCCACAGTGGACACGCTCCCTCTTGTGAAGCAACTGAGCGTTTGAACTCGATGTGTTCTGCTGCCAAACGTTCTAATATAGAACCAAAAACGCAAATGGGTGAACGAAATGTAGATATTGAGGCGTAAGTAAATACTGCGGCGTGTTAGCTTCACGTCGAAGCTGCAGTTTAGCTAGCGCATTTTAAGCTTGGGAGCACCCCCCCCACACACACACACACACACACACACACAGCTTTAGCATAAAAACAATGGCGTGGGGGGTATGATTTATCTCTAATTGTCCCTCTTATCGCCGATTGTTCAAGTATACTACTGCTAAACGGGACTAAAAGCATGGATATTAGCAATCCAGCGATCGGACATGGAAGGAGCTATACCCTTCGCTAGCTACGGATTGACATGATGTGTATGATTTTGCACTGCACTGCATTGATTGCCTTGCACAACCCTCGCCGACCATTGTTTTGTTTATAAGCGGTATCCTGTATCGAGTCTGCATATGCGCAGCATGGACGGATTCATTCCTGTTTGACAAGTGTTTTTTTCATGCTCCAGAGCAGTAGGTTGGTAGGCCGGTGCATGGCAGCTGTCCTGTCAATGACTCTTCATCAGAGTCACTAGTACAGTCTAGGCCCATAAATATTGGAGTGTTGACACAAGTGTCATTTATTTCAATGCCACCACAATGGCTTTAAAATTAAAAGAACACGTTTTGACTTGAACTATACACTTTCAGATATAATTTGAGGGTCTTTCCATCCAAATCAGGTGTGTATGAAATACAACAGTTTGAGTATGTACCACCCTCTTTTTAAAGGACCAAAAGTAAGAGGACATTTGGCTGCCCAGCTCTTCTATGATTAAGTTGTCATTTATTGGGTATTAATTGACAGTGTTACTGCCGATAAAAGTAGCAGGATGATTTCTTTCACTATTGTCTTTTACTCTCTGCTTTTCATCAGCCAACTGCTTCAGAACTCATTTGATGGCGTTCCAGAGTGCAGATGGACAACATCCCACCTGAATCTTACCCGATTGGGCATGCGGTTCACTTGCTGAAGACATAAACTAAAGCAAAAAATAAATAAAAATGCCTATAGAACATGCAGGAACTGCAGACAGCTGCAGCCTGACTGAACATTAGCAGACATGAAATGCAGCGTCTGCTGATGTGTTCTAGACGTCAAGCTTTAATTGACTGCAAAGAATCTGGTACTAAATATTAAAAAGTGAAGGTTTGATTCATTGTTTATATGTCCTATTACTTTTGGTTCTTTAAAAGATGTGAGGCATATTTACCAGCAGTTGTAATTCCGACCCCATTCACCAGATTTGGATGTAAACCTTTGTGAAGATAAGCGGCTTGGAGAATAGATGGGTGGAATCTGAAAATTAATGAGCAAAGTCTGCAGTTAAAGCATGTCCTGTGCATTTCATTTAAAATCCATTGTGGTGGTGTTTCTCGCTGAAGAGATGAGAATTGTGTTGATGTGCTGATATACATGGACCTGACTCTGTTACCCAGCGTACCACAAGTCATTATGAATGGTAATCATTTGGACTGTGCACATTGCTGCTTATATGGCTCTTGTGATTGGGCATGCTGGGGATCTGAATGTGACACAGCAAAATTCCCCAGCACCACTCCTGTGCTATGACCGTGATACCAATATATTATACTCATTGCGTATACTGTACTTATCAAGTGGAAATTCAACTCCAAGTCCACTTTGTTTCACACCGCAAAGATTGAGCGTATATACACATGCCGACAAGTGGTGACGAGATGTGGACAAAATGCAATATCCATCCATCCATTTTCCGGTTGCCAGCCAATCGCTGGGCACACAGAGATGAACAACCATCCGCGCTCACACTCACACCTCGGGACAATTTAGGGTGTTCAATCAGCCTGCCATGCATGATTTTAGAATGTGGGAGGAAACCACAGTACCCGGAGAAAACCCACGCAGGCCCCAGGAGAACATGCAAACTCCACACAGGGAGGCCGGAGTGGAATTGAACCTCTGCACTATGAGGTTGACGCGCTAACCACTGGACCACGGAGCCTCCTGAAAATGCAATATCATGATCATTTTATAGCCCAATAGGGTCCCACCTGATAAATCGATCAATATTGGCCCTTATAAATTAGACAAGATTATTATTATTATTATTTTTTTAAATACATGCAAGCACATTACCACACAAGACAAAGATTCATTCAAACATCCATTCCGGGTAGTCCCGTTTCCTCCCACCTTCCAAAAACATGCATGATAGGTTGATTGAACCCTCTGTATTTTCCCTAGTTGTGATTTGGAGTGCAAATCATTGTTTGTTTATGTGTGCCCTCCAATTGGCTGCCAACTAGTTCAGGGTATGCCTCCCGCCTTGCTGTCTGAAGACAGCTGCGATTGGCTCCAGAACGCCTGTGACCCTTGTGAGGATAAACGGATCAGAAAATGAATGGGTGGATAGTGAGTTAAATTCTCCCCAAACAATTTCAGTGCTGCATTAGGAATGTGTGGCGGGTTTCTCTAAAAGTTTTTTCATGCTTTGTTAAAGCATGTAAAATGGCTCGCCAGTAACACAAGCTGAGTCACTACATAGCTATTGGGAGTCTTGTGTTTGGGTGCTGTCATGCTCCATGCGGCACACTTGGAGGGGGCTGACTCGTGCCGTTGAAGAGGTCCATTTAGCCGCACTCTTACTGCTCAAGCCCTGGGTGGACTGCAGAGACCAAATTTGCTTGGAGACGGTGGCGCACCTCAAATTTGTTTGTATTAGTATGTTGTAAATAATGAAAGTAGAAATACACTGTCAAATTGTGGTTGCAAAACTCTTACAAGTAACATTTCCCCATAGCTGTCTCAAGTTTCAAGCTCCTTACCTCAGTTGTGAAGGTGATTGACGTCACAGAGGCATTTAATTTTAAAATGTTTAACAGCCACTTGTGTGTTAAATTAAAAAAAAAAGTTAACTATTCATAATAAAATGTATGTACATGACAGCACATCATACGTCTTTGTTGGAACTGACACCTTTTTTTAAAATAAGTGTTTGAAAACAAGTCAAGCAAAAAGCAAACACACCCAGAAGTTAATCCTCATGCTTGAAACTAGGGCCCGACTGGCTAATCGTCCGTCTGATTAAATCGGCCCTAAAACAATGGCCTGTGTTTGGTGACTGTTTTTACCGTTAAGTGCTTTAACCATTTATACAGCAGTTATGCATATATAACACTGTTTTTTTATTATTTATTTTACACATAAATCAAGACAATAAAACCTTGTATCCTTAAATATATACGACTGAACATTGTTGATCAGGTCATTCCTCACAACCAAAAGAAAGGGTTTATTTAAAAAAAAAAGAAAGAAATCCAAAGATGTTGCCACATAAATCAGACAAATGTGGTATGACACATTCAAATACTGGTAACACAAAACACCGTTCTGACAAGGATTAATGTCCTTGGGTCTTAATTAAATGCATTGGGCCACACTGTGCATTCTAGCAACCAAAAAGGAAAGTTTTTTTTTTTAACAACATATTCACAATTGACCCTCGGGGAATAGGGCCAAATATTGAAAATCCGTGTGTAATTGACGGCCATTGAAATACATTGGTGATGCAGAAAGTTTTTTTTTTTTTTTTTTTTTTTTTTTTTTTAATGAATTGGACGATTAATCTGTAATTTGTTTCCTGTCAAAAATCGGGATTGGTTTAAAAATCCATATCTGCCAGGCCCTACTTTCAATTGAGTTTGACAACGCATTCTTGAAAGTTTGAGCTATTCTTTTTCTTTGAATTCTTGGCTTTAGTGTTGCACTTTTGTCCCGGTGCTCATGCTGATCATACTTTTGTCTTCACAGTCTATGAGAAGACAGAGGACGGAGGTCGTGGTGGAGCTGCGAAAGGTAATCGACATCATACGTTGACTTGACTCGCATGTGTCACATCTGCACTCGATTGCCCAGCCGAAATGATGCACTGCTGTTCTGATCGACTGAGTCAATTAACATGCGTGCATTGAACATTTTCTTTTTGCTTTTCAACAGAACAAAAGAGACGAGCACCTCCTGAAGAGAAGAAATGTGCCCCACGAGGACATTTGCGAGGATTCTGATGTGGATGGAGATTTCAGATCGGTAGGAATTTGAATCACCAAAGTATGAACCTTGATGCTGCCATGAAATGTAAAAGAAATGTCACTAAAACAACTCAAACTTTATGTAGCGCTTTAGGGGCACATA